CATACAAATATATATATATATATATATATATATATATATATATATGTATGTAAGTATTATTATTATTAACTAATTAAATATATTTATCCTAAAATGTTTTGATAAGCCAAAATTAAGAAGAAATAATAATAAGAAGCATAAGAAAATTCGAAAGAAAGTCTTCATTCTAACTCATTTTAAAGAAAGCGAATGAAATAAAAACTATTTTCAACCACAATAGAAGACCCCAGGCTATTTAACCCCTCAACTATTCAAGGAAAGTGAAGAGACTTTTCTCCTAACCCCCAAAAGATCCCCCCTACTAGAACTTATACTCGTATTGGTAAATGAAGGGAGGACAGATGGAAGGCGTGGTTTAGGCTCTTTTCGCAAATTTTTTAAGAATTTTTTCATCTTTCTTTTATAATAACACATTTCATAATTGAAGAAAATAATTGCGAATTAATTCTTTCGGAAGCTTGAAATGTATAGTTCGATTACGTGAACTCAAAAATAAAGATTTACTGAATGAATTTTGATGAAAAACGTATTTCCAGAAGATAACTCTATTACCGATCTTTCACCTCCATTAATAATTTTAAATTTATAGTAAAACAAAAAGTGATTTCACAAAATCTTAGAGTAAACTATGAAGTTTCAAATGCTGAAAGAATTTTTTCAAAATATCAAAATGCAAAAAAGTTATTAGTAAATGAAGCTCCCATAGAAAAAGCATTAGCTGCTGGCATTGAGAGGGCAGGTATTGCGTCCTCTTCATCAGCCCACACGATTATATCCGCAACAAAGAGTGCTTTCTGATATTGTATCAATATAGCCAAAGCAAAATATATTAATACAATAGTGTGAGGAGCACTTGAAAAACTTTTTTACAAAAATTACAACAAATAAAATAGAACACAATAAGTAAAAATAACACGTAAAAACAGAAACTAAAATAAAATAAAAAGAAAAAACAGAATGAAACAAAATCTATAAAACGAGTAGCGAATTCAAATGTACTTACATGTAGAGGGAAATTTTTCAAGAATGATTTAAAAAATATTTTCGTAACGAGATTGCCAGATTGCAAAATATGACAACAAAAGCGCAAATTGAGCGTAACTAGAGCAGTTTTGTTTTAAAGTGTCGTTCTTACTGCATTGCTGAAGTGCGTTTGATTTGTTAGTTACCAAGGATGGGCCCGAAATAGATGTGCACAAGGTAATATTATACTGGATAATTTAAAGAAGTTGACCATAAATAATTTAAGAAAATAAATATTTAATTAAGAAAAAAACATGAAATATAAAAGAGAAACATGAATTGCCTGTTTTGCACATAATTTTAGCCACGGATTTGCACATGGAAAAATTGTGTAAATTAATAAAGAAATTTTAAGTAAATAATTTTACCCTCGGATTGCCCGAAATGGATATATATACATATATATATATTCTTTGCAGATTGTTGTTAGTTTTTTTTTACCATAGATTCATTTTCTTAGGCTAGACTACATATATATTTCAATAGAATAGCTCTTTAATATAACAGAGGATAAAAAAGAAATCAATCTTAGAAAAACCCACTTTAGGGTGGGTTTTACTGGGCTTTTCAGGGTGGGTTTTACCTAGTAAAACCTGACCGGGTTTCTCTGGGCAAGTGGGTTTTTTTTCGCAACCCTGAATAAGATTAATAAAAATATTACAGCAACAGATTTTCTCCAGATAACAGTAACAGATTTCAGAAGACACTTTTAATTAAATGAAAAGGAAGCAAAACTAGTTAGAACACCATTAACTATGAGTAATTTTTTAAAATCACTATCACATTAATGAAGATTAATTTTATTATGAAACATTAACTGGTGATTCATCTCAGATCCTGGGGAGATAAAAACAATCTGAAGAATAAATTAGTTCATTTCATACTGAACAAACCTAAAAACAAATTGCACTCCAAAAAATGACAAGATTTATACCAAAGGGCCAGAAAGCCAGGTTGGTAGGACACCGGGCCCATGTCCAAGAGGTCATGGGTTCGATCTCCGCAAACCCTAGACTCTCCGCGTTATAAATGGTGACTGATGCACATTAAATCTGTCAAGTTACAAAGTTCTTCATTCTCCCATAAATCATACCTCTGGGGATACTGATTTATGAGTTTCTTCTGGAGATGAGTTCCTTGTCTTCTGGAAAGATTTTTTAGTTTGTTTAAAAAGTTCTAGAGATATGGCCAAATTTGCAAAAGGTATGTTTATTTAAAGAAGATACGTTTTTGTGACTCATATTGTAGCTTAAAATATCGTCTGCACCAATTAATTAGCATATTTGAGGTCATGCCTTCAAACCATCAAAATTGAGTCCTAAAATGTGAAAATCTGACCATTGGATCAAAAGTTATTCAGGATGGTCCGTTTTTTTTGGTGCATTGTAAATAAAAAATACATAGCAAAATTTTATAGTAAAATATGAAATTCTTAACAAACATACAAACTATAAAAATTTAAACTTACCATAAAAAAGCTTTTGTTTTCAGATATTTTTATCAGTTATAAAAGCTAAACAAAAGTTCTCTATGCTGAAAATGATCTCATGTTTTGATATTTCTGAAAGTTTTGGTGTGATTAATTTTTCACAATGTAGTTTTTACTAAAACATATTATTCTGGTTGATTTTTTGTAAATAATAACAATACTTAAATTTTAAAAAAATAAATTAGTTCATTTCATACTGAACAAAACCAAAAACAAATTGCACTCCAAAAAGTGACAAGATTTATACCAAAGGGCCAGAAAGCCAGGTTGGTAGGACACCGGGCCCATGTCCAAGAGGTCATGGGTTCGATCTCCGCAAACCCTAGACTCTCCGCGTAGTAAATAGTGACTGATGCACATTAAATCTGTCAAGTTACAAAGTTCTCCATTCTCCCATAAATCATACCTCTGAGGATACTGATTTATGAGTTTCTTCTGGAGATGAGTTCCTTGTCTTCTGGATTGGTTCAAAATTACGAGGCTACGGAGTTGAATATTAGTAGTAGTCATGAACCCAAAAACTTGGGTCGTCTGTTCAACGACTGTTAAAAATAAAAAATACAATTTTTTACCCATCTTAGTTTAAATCAAATTTCATAATACACAAAACTAATGCCTATTTTATTAATCATAAAATGGGCACATTCCATATCAAAAGTAAGTAAAAAATTCAATATAATTTATATATAAGACATTTGTTACAAATAAAATGCTTAAAAAAAATACAGTCTGAATAACCCCAGGCCTTCTGGCCCAAAAAAATTTTGTTTTATACTAGAGTTCATATTTGCTAAGCTTCACTATAACCACCACTCCACTGTGTGTGCATTATAGTTCAATATAAAATTGTTCCAATGATGCAACTTAAAGTTAAATTAGTCTCTCTAGCATCCTATACTTGAAGCACTAAAAACTTTCCCTCACAAAATTACAGATTTAAGTTTACATTATAAAGAGAGAAAGTTAGTTTCATGAAAGCTAGAAAAAAACGAAATTCCTCTTTGTTTATTTTTTGGAAAGATTTGTTGTTTATGAAAGAACAAAATGCTCAGCATTTATTTAATTTTGATGATGATTTAATTTCCATAAAAACAATACAGTATTTCCATACAAGAATACAGTCGTTTCAATCAAATTGTTTTGGTTTTTTATTAATTCCTTCTAAAATTACGCAAAAAGTAGAAAAAATTATCGTAGATAGTAGCAAACAATAAAATTTCATAGCTCTAGAAAATTTGGTTTTAAGCAGATTATTACAGATATTCTCAAAAGCCATAATTTTTTTCCCCTTCAGATTTATGATTTTTGATTCATGCGGATTTTTTTTCGTGGGTTAACCTAGAATACCACCCACGTTTAGCCTGTCAGCAGCACAGCTTGGATTGAACAAATCCAAAACTAGAAAATATTTTTTTATATTATAAAGCTAGAAAATACGTGTCAAAAATACATTACAGAAATTTGCATGACATAATAACAACTTATTAAAAAAGAATCAAATTTTTGAAAAGGGAAAAAAATAATAATACAAAATATAACTTAAAAGTTAAGCTTTTATTTACGTTTTTTCTTTTAAAGAACAAGTAAGAACTTTTAAGCACTTTTAACAGTGCTTAATTTCCATGATACAAAATTATACTCAATTAAGCACATTTAAGGTACATATGAACTCTAAAGAAAAGGGAAATTCAATTCAAGGAAAAATCCACAAAGTTTCTTGTTCTGTAGCGCCACAGCAGATACTAAATCAAAAGTTACGATAGATGAATAAAATAACTTCTGAATACAGTGAATGGCTCTCTTATATACAATATTTTAAATTTAAAAAAAAAGTTGAGTTATGAGAAGAGCTTCAAAAATTAGCTATACTGAATGAAATGTAAACAATATTATATGCTTCGGGGAAAACTGATAAAAGTTTGCTATTAACTAAGTCTAGAGCGAGAAAAAAAAGCGAGTATATTAGAGACAACCTCTATGAGGATAACTGAAAAACAAATTTGAGAGTGGATTTTAAACAATAAGCTAATTTAGAGTAAATTATAAAGAAAAGAGTAATATATTTACCTAAAATGAGTAATTTGGTTTTCGAGAAGTATTCTTTAACGTTCATTAATATCGGCAAAAAAAATCTTTCTCTTCAACAGTCGCAGTTCCAATGCCGTCCGGCCTTAGGTAGAAAATAGCTTTAACTTTTTTAGAATGTTATTTTCGTAAAGCATACACAATATTACAATAAAATTAGTATACTTAATTATTTATAATATACATAAACTTGTTCTCAGCATTGATACAATCTTCATAATAAGCTATGAAGTGTGTTTAAAAATGGCTAACAATTAAAAAATTAATTAAAAAAATATTGTTTCTTATAAATTTTTATCAAGCATCATTCATATAAAGTAAATGATACATAAAAAAGCTTTAGATTTCTTTTAATATGTAATTTATACATTCATGTCTCACTGTTTCATACAATTTAAGCTTTTAAAAAGGTTTTAAGGTATGTTTCGACAATATTTTAGACACTGAACAAACCATCCAAATGTAATGCATAAATAGAAAAATTAACTTTTATAGTATAACAATTTATTTTTATGTAAAGTATTGAATGATAATGCAAATTTTAAATTAAATTAAAAACGATACTAGCATGAATGTAAATAATTTATATTTTTGAGATGATTTTCTATTTTTACCACCGATTTCTAAATCAGTTTTCAATATTTAATAAATACGCACAATAAAACTTCATTGCAAAAAGAAGTTTAATTAGTTAAACAACTTTTCAAAGAATAGTAAAACTTTTTGTAAAAAATTCTTTACACTGCAATTGTTCTCTACTACTAACCTATGCAACTAAAACATTTTATTTTACAAAACTCACAGTATAAATCTAAAGAACTACAAAATTATCAAGGTTCTAATAGGCTAAATAGTTTTTTTTTCTTCTCTTAATATTTAAATATTTAAACTAAAGATGTATCCAAAAAAAGAAAAAAAAAAGTGCAGTACAACTAAAACTTTTCTAAAAGAATTTTTTTTCTTTAAAAGTACTTAGAACTTAACAGAATAATGGAAAAAAAATGTTTCTTTTTTGAGCACATATAATCGATTAATGAGCTGCAATAGAAAAGAATACAATATAAAGAAACTGAGCTGTTAAATGAAAAATCTAATGTGAAATTATTAACAACAATGATAATTTTGGAATACATTTATTGGTGTTGATATTTTTTTTAAAGAAAAAAAAAACATTATTTTGAAAATGTTGTGTAGTATAACTTTAATTCCTAAATTTAAATTAAGTACATTATTTTATCAGATTTCGAACGAAAATAATAACATGAAATTATTATGAAGGAAAAAAGTATTTTTGTTTTTATTCCAAAAATTAAATATAATGAAGGAAAAATTTTACCAATTTGTTTTGCTTTTCTGCTCTCCTTACAATACATACTATTTTTTAATGTTCCTTATCACAGTTCCTATTCATCCAAAAACTAATTTATTAAAAAAAAGTGCTTTCTCGATAAGTTTAATTCTTAACACTAGGTAAGGATACCATAACAAAATTTAAGTTTGAAATAACTCTAAATAAAACTTATTATAAATTTGATTTTTAAATATAAATCAGTGATTCTAAATTTCAGGAGAAAATTTGTTTCAAGCACTTATGCAACAATAATAGCTTAGGTACTTACTGGCACAGTCGATTTAGATGTTGCTCACACAGCTGATGGAAAATTAGAGACATAAATGGAAATTATGAGATTATCAGTAACTAAAAGACTAGAAAAGTAATTAAGTCATAGCTATTAATCTGTCTATTAACCCTGTAATGGTTGCATAATTTTGAAAACAATGATATAAGTGCCAAATTTTTTTTATTCAAGAAAATTATATAAAAAAAGAATTGCATTTACAATATGTATTCATTCTTAATTTATGGTTTAATCGCAAATCTACATGTTCGATGCATGCTGATATCTAGTTTAAAATAAACTTTCTCAAAACGCATTACAAATAGTCTAGTGTTGCTATCTGAAACATAGAGAAATCAACATGTTTACGGGCATAAGCAACATATTGTTTCAATCCTTTTGGAACATTACTTCAGCCTAGAAATATCACAATAAAACTTTAGAAGGCAAAATTTCGTCTCGTTATTTTTGCGGGAACGAGAAAGAGTAAATTTTAATCAATTGCAAGTAAAACTGATTTTAAAACCTACTTGTTTCAGTTTACTGTGATCAGACATGTGACTGAACTACATAAAAAGCTTTGATGGCAGAGTGTAGACACGTAAAAGGATAAACAATATCACATAATACTATAAAATAATTTTTCCACCATGTGAAAGAAATTAAAGAGTTTTTTACATATAAATATTAAATAATAAGTGTCAATCTAAAACAAGTTTCTTTGTATCTAATTTTTTAAACCTGTATAAGTTCATTTCACTGAAAAATATTGAAGGGGGCACTAGTTCTAAAAAGGAAAAAGAAGCAATGCTTTTCAATGAAAAATAACACATATATATGCCTAATAATACAATATAAACTTAATAATATTTAACTTCTTTTTGAACCAGTTACTCTTTTCCCCCTGTTTCTGTAATTCAGTAGTTTTTACTAAAAACAGTTTTGATTAAAAACAGCTGCTTTTTCTTATATTTAAGAATAAATTATCAAACCCAGATTTTTTCTTCTTCATTCTTTAATTTTCTAAACAAATATTTAAAAGGTTTTTCTACCACAGTTGAAGAAAAATGCATTTTGTATAAAAACTTGCTTAAAGTCTATCTTATCAGTAGATTAAAATATTTTTTGTGAAATGAGAACTATCTTAAAATAATTGGGAAGGAGTAATGTCCTATCTCTACTCTAAACGTTAGAGGAGATAAAATATCCATTTTTTACAGTGTCAATCATATGAGCTAATTTTTGAAGCCAAATATTGCTACATACCTCCTTGTAACCTAGATATGGTTTGAAGTTTTTGCTGGTTTGAGGTTAAACGAGGGGAATTGGTTTACGAGATAGTCCTGTACATGGCCATGATCCATAGATGGCACTCATTTTCAACGCCACTGGCATAAAGTCCGCTATTACCTTCCTCGCCCACATTGAAGAAAAATCTTCCACCTTTAAGATCTTAAATTTAAAGTAGCATTAAACAAAACAGGAAAAGCGATTTTATTCAAACAAAAGTAGATTCTAGTTCAGAGATGCCATCTTTTTTTTCTTGCACTAACTGAAGTTGCTCTAAATATTATTGAAGTAGCATTAAACAAAGCAGGAGAAGAGAAATAATAAATTAATACCTGTAAGTAAAGAGAGATTTTATTCAAACAAAAGTAGTTGCTGGTTCAGAGAGATGCCATCTTTTTCTGCACTAACTGAAGTTGCCCTAAATGTTCAATTTGCTTCATTCTTTTTCCTTAATTTGAATAAGATTAAAGAAAATATTACAGCAACAGATTTTCTCCAGTTAACAGTAACAGGTTTCAGAAGACAATTAAATGAAAAGGAAGCAAAACTAGTTAGAACACCATTAACTATGAGTAATTTTTGAAAATCACTATCACATTAATGAAGATTAATTTTATTATGAAACATTAACTGGTGATTCATCTCAGATCCTGGAGCCGATGAGACAAAAACAATCTGAACAATAAATTACTTCATTACATACTGAACGAAACCACAATCAAATTGCACTCTAGAGAACGACAATTTATACCAAAGGCCAGGATAGCCTGGTTGGTAGGACACTTAGCCCATGTACCGGAGGTTATGGGTTCGATCTCCGCGAGCCGAATACTCCCCGTGTAACAAATAGTGACTGATGCACGTTAAATCCGTCGAATCACAAAGTCCTTCATGTTCCCATAACAAATCATATCTCTGGGGGGTACGGATTTAGGAGTTTCTTGTCTTCTGGATTGGTTCAAAATTACAAGGCTATATTAGCAGCCGTGAACCCAAAAACTTGGGTCGGCTGTTCAACGATGGTTATAAAAAAATTTATACCAATCTTATTAGTTTAAATCAAATTTTATAATTCAGTCAATTTTTTTAATTACAAAATGGGCAGATTTCATATCAGTAAAAAAAAAATTTATTTCAGTAAGTAAAAAATTCAATACAGTTTACATATAGGACATTTGCTATAAAGAAAATGTTTCTAAAAAAAACAAAACAACTTTATCCCAGCTGGCCCAAAACAATT